ATGATAAGTGAGGGAACACTGTAAATAAATGATCCTCACACGTGTGCTTTGTTGCTCCCAGGTCCCGGGTTCGGGAGGCCATCAAGCCCGGGAAGTACGGCTACGGGAAGGTGCCGTTCGCATTGCCCCTCCATAAAGATCCGGCCGAGGAGGCTGCCGGTCGCTCGAAGCGGCACCAAGCGGAGCATCCTGGACCTCCTCCGCCTCCTCCGCCTCCTCCTCGCCCCACCTCGAAGAAGCCCAAACGGAAACCCACTCATGAAGAAGGGGCCAGGAGCCAGGAAAAGGACCCCACGGGTTCTGGAACACACGAGAAAGAGAAGCTTCCTCCGGTGGTCCATGCGGCGGAAAGACACGATTCAGGATATGATTCAGGGCACGGCGGCACCGTCAACAACCGAGGTCCGGAAGACACATCTCAACCTGTGGAAAAAGTGGACGATTTGACAATATCTCGGCCTGTGGAAACGGGTACGGTCACGGCGGCACGTAGTGAGCATGACCGTGGAAAGGCGGCCACTGTCTCCTCTGGCGATGCCAAAGGTCCCTCTGCAGTTGGAGAAACCCACCCGGAAACAAGACCCCAAGAAGGGAAAAAGCTTCCCGAAAAGTCGAAGGGTGGCTCGGCCGCAAAAGCAGGTATACCACCCACTTCTCGGTCGCACCATTCTGGAGTCGGTGCCAACTCCCAAGGCCGAGTGGAGCTTCGCCTGTCGCACCGAGTACTCAAAAATCACAAGCAGACGGCAAAAACGCCGGAGCCGTCGGCTCGTTCCAGAGGTCCGCAGTCGCCCTCGGGGCAACCTCGAACTCGGGCGCATCGGCAGAACGAGCCTCGGACGGGAGGAAGCGGCAGCTACGGGTCGTGGTCCACCCACAGCCTCTTCGTGGACCGTCCTGTGGCACCTCCGCGGGGTACGGAGCCCGACATTTGGCTCCTGCACCGCGAGAACCCCGTGCAATTCCACGCCCGAGGTCAAGGGCCGCCCCAGGCGGGGCCCGAAGTGCCGCAATGGAATCTGTATTATCCTGGGACGGAGACTTTCCGCTGCGAAGGAGAAAGCAAGCAATACAAAGCCTGCAGCCAAGAGGTGAG